GGTGAGAGACCACCCCCTGCGCACCCCCTCTGGTGTCGAGAATGTGCCATGCCTGCTGTGCCCTGGACGACCGTCACGAATAGCGGCCGCGGTGAGAGACCACCCCCTGCGCACCCCCTATGGTGTCGAGAATATGCCATGCCTTCTGTGCCCTGGACGACCGTCACGGATAGCTGCCGCGGTGAGAGACCACCCCCTGCGCACCCCCTCTGGTGTCGAGAATATGCCCTGCCTGCTGTGCCCTGGACGACCGTCACGGATAACGGCCGCGGTGAGAGACCACCCCCTGCGCACCCCGTATGGTGTCGAGAATATGCCATGCCTGCTGTGCCCTGGACGACCCTCACGGATTGTGCAGACGTCTTGGGTGTAGGATGCAGTGAACATGCGTCTTGTGTGTGCGAGTGTGTGCATGCGTGCGGCTGTAAGTAGACGCGTGTCTCATGTACTTGCCGTGCATGTGTTGACCGCGGGTTGAGGAGAGGAATGAAGAGGAGGAGGGGAGGTGAGGATACGCGGGTGCGCCGCGGCAGGGAAGAAAACCAGAACCCCACGAAACATGTGGGGAATTAGTGTTGTGCTCCCGGTGGCCATTGTATTTTTCAATGAGATGATCCTCCCGAGCCTCGCACCCTGTTTTTGTATTAGAGAAAGTCTGTGGTCATCGAACTGCGCCCCTGGCCCCCAGTTTACAACAACAATGGCTCCCGCCTGAGACTTCCTCACCGTTTATTTCAAATGTGCGCTCTCGCGCAGGACTTCTTCTTCTCTCTCGCTCTCTCTCTTTTTGTTGTTGTTGTTAAAAAACAACAAAAAAGAATAGTGTTTTCGCGTGGTACTTCCTCCAAATGCATTGCGGCACCGTGCCCCCTAGACTCAGGAATCACGCTCTCGCTTTGGATTTTCTCACGATTTACCCAAGGATCGCGCTATCGCTCGAACCTTCCTCCATGTTGGGTTGACGCTTTAGCGACCCGGCAACTCGACCTGGCCATCTGGGCCCGCCCGCACGACCTGCCCGTCAGGGTCCGCCCGCCCTACACGCCAGGCTAGTTCTGCCGCGTGTGCTCCTGCTCCTAACCAGCCTCCTGCCAATTTCTCTCCTGCTCCATCCTTCTCCCTTCACTCGTCCCCTCCTTTTCCTCTTTTAGGGGCTGCGCCAGCTACGCGCGGCAGGCAGGGAAGATGTATCCCCAAGAAGGGGTACGATCGAAGAAGAAGAGGGCGGGTACCGAGGGTTTGGGTTGAATGGCACGCGGGCAGGTAAGAGCGATCACTATCAAAGTGAGTGTTGCTGCTGCTGTTGTTGCTGCTACTACTGCTGCTGTTGTCGTTGTTGCTGCTGCTGTTGTTGTTATTATTGTTATGGCGTTTGTTATGTTGTTGCTGTTGCAATTGTAGTGGCTGCTGTTGTTGCTGCTGCTACTGCTGCTGTTGTTTTGTAAATCCGCATCGGGACGACGTCCAGCAACGCTGGTTTTCTGATCAGCCGCGGCAGTTAACTGGCGACGTAGACGTATATGACGAAAGTGCGCCTCCTTCGAGGCGTTGCCAAAGACGGCCTCGTCTTGGAGGGAGACCTGCCAGCCTCCGAGATATCGAGGGACGTGCTGCCCAGTCCGGCAGTTGCGATGAGTATCCTGTCCCCAGTACTTCTATGGAGATCGAACAGACAGTAAGGAGCTTGGCCTCCGCGACCGACTGGTGTCAGGTCCGGCGTGTCCCCCTACAGGCGGATTTTGGGCGAAAAATGGAACAGACTCAAGAAATATCCACAGCATATTCGAAAATAATCAAACATCGTCCCCATACTATTTTTTGACTATTTTGGAATCTTCCTCCTGTAGAGGGACAGGCCCGACTGAAGACTGGTGCTGCATCCCTGCCGGGAGACTGACGAGCAAATTGTGGGCAAGCCGCGCCGCTGCAACCATGCTTTTCCTATAGCCGGCCCACCGCACCTGCGCGGAGAGTTGCTGAATGCGGGCGCGGGAGAGGATAAGCTCGACCTGCTTCTTGTAGAGCGGTACGGTGGGTGGAGCTGATGTGTCCACACGTGTCTCGCAAAGACCTTCAAATTATTGAGGTCCAACATGTATACCACCCTTCTCCTACATTCGAAGTTGACGAGTTTAGACGGTAGGCCAAAGGCCAGGGACAAAATGTGGACACTTCAGCTTTGGGTTTGGGGGAGAGGGGTGCGAAGCAAGGGCATTTCGCAGCTGTGGTTGTTATCATGTTGCATCGCCTTCCCGCCCTGGGTGTGGACACTTTGTGTCCAGGTACCGTAGCTTGAATATTACATCGGGCATGGTCTGGTTGGCGTCCGTCGGCCTTCTCCTTTCCCAGCTGGAGAGTGGCCGTGAGGACAAAACGATCGCTGAGGCGTTGGTCTCTCAGCACGGCCGCACGATTCGCCACCCCGGCGATCGCGTCGCGGTTCGGGTGCGCATGAGGCGGCAGGCTGCAGAAGACTCGGTCGATGCGCGTGGCCTTCTCCTTGTGGGCTCGTTTCTGCTGACCTTGGGCATGGACGAGTAGAGCCCCCGCCAGAAGGGCGGATGATGTTGGTCGCCAGGAGGAGGGGAAGGAGGAGGAGCAGGATGAGGGAGGGGGACGAATATCCAGGCCGTTGGGCCACATGGCCGCTGGCCCCACTCCCCCTTCCTCATCATCCCCTTCCTCCTCCTCCTCCTCCTCCTTCTTCCTGTCGCCCTCTCCCTCCTCCACCTCCCGTTTATCCTTCCCCCCCCTCCTTCCTTGCTCCTCCTCCCCCAGCTCCTCCTCCCCGTCTTCTTTCCCTTCCGCCCCCTGCTCAGCTTCCTCACGGTTATTCTCCTCCCCCTCCTCCTCCTCCTCCTCCTCCTCCTCTGTCGTCACCTCCGCCTCCTCGTTGTGTCCCTCCCTGTCTCCCTCCTCCTACGTCGTCTGTCCGCCCCGATCTCGCTTGAGAAATATGAGCCAGGGGCTGCCAGCGGTGCCTCTGGTCAGGCGCCCCCAGCTGTCAGCGCCACTCTGGACGTCCCTGGGGCCCACTGGGGCTCGTGCAGGTTGCCCTGGAGGCCTCCCTGGAAATCCTGGGGACACCCTGGGGGCACACCCTGGGCCACGGGGTCCCTTGGCCACACCCGACATAAACAGGTGGCCTTCGTGTCCTTGGCCCTCCGCTCCTGGGGCCGACAGGGCGGCGACGAGCGCAAGAACGGCGATCCCAGACCCCCGACGTCATGGTCTTTTCGCACCGCCGGCCCCAGAAGGCCCCGACCCTTTCCCGAGGACCGGCTCTTCGTCCCGATACGTTTTCTGACCATCCCGGGGCTCGCCGAGGCCCCCCAGGGACAGAGAGCAGCAACAACCACTCCTGTCGAGATTCCTTCGTGGCCCGAGGGGGTCGGGGCAGAGGGCTCCGAGCTCACCTGGGCCGGGGACCTTCCGGCTCCAACTCCGTGGCAGCTTGGCGCTCTTTGCGCCGGTTGGGGCTCCCGACGCACGGAGGCGACGTGCTCCTCCCCCGACAGCCTCCTGCTGCGGTGCCAAGCTGGTGGCGCGACGAAGCCAACGTGATTGCACTGTCTGGTGACTTCTAGATTCGAGCCTCGGTAGCTACGGTTCGCTCGACAGATTCACGCAATAGATACGTAGCACCCCGCAGTTGCGGACGAGAGTGAGGGGTGGGTCGCGGGGTGGATTGCGGGTGGGTCGCGGGGGGACGGCGACAGCAAACAGCAACACACAAGCAGCATCAAGGCCACGACATTCCACTTCACCCACGCACGCCGGGATGGTAAGACCGTTCGGCCTCCTCACCCTGGCATGCATGCGCCGCGCACCTGCAGCTGCTCATGCGAGGTATCTGCAGTCTCGCGCTGCAGAGGCAAGGGGGCCCGGCTCAACGAGGGAGGTGGCCGCCGCCGCCTGGCCTCTCCTCGTGGCGGCTGGATCGGGGAGCATCCCCTGGGAGGTCTTCGCAAGAACGATGAGGTACTCATCGGTGGGAAGACGCGGGCAGGAGCATGCAGTAGGAAGGCGTTGGAAATAGGTTGGATCTCCGCCCGCCCCTGAAGTCGAAAGAAGAAGGAAACCACTCGATCCTTGCTTGACCAGCTAATTTATAAGCACGATCAAAAGGTCAATCCAGCCTTAGGTCGTGCATGTCCCCCTACAGGGAGATTTTGGATGATATATCAAAAATACGCAAAACATGCCCCCAAATAGTCAACAACATACAAAACGTCGTCCCGTGACTATTTTTGGGACTGTTTTTGAGCATTCCCCCTGTAGAGGGACAGGCCCGACTCAAATCCAGCGGCATCAAGCGGGACGGAGCCGGGGGCTACGCTGGAGAGGTCTGACGCCGGCCAGGCTCGGCCGGCTTTCGACCGCGAGTATGCCGGCGCCGATGCTGAATTCAACCTCCCAGACATCACGGGTCGGACCCGTGGTGTCTTTTCCCATCCCGCAGGGCGGGCGCTCAGGGGTTCCTGTCGGGGGCGCGCAGACATGGGCCATCGATCCATGGACTAGGCGCACGGTCGCCAAATCGGATCGGGCGGAGGTGCCCTCCCCAAAAATGCGGCCGGTGCCGCCTCGCTCGACGGCGGAACTCCGCGATTCTTCCCATGGGAGCAGGACCCGTCGCTAATCCACGCCGCCTTGATCCATGCTTGCGATCGCCCGATCCTGCTCCGCCCGCCAGGGGACTTGGACTGGCGTGGCGAGGTGCCGCCCGGCGGGCGGGTGCGGTGGGGCTTCGCCTGGTGGGAAGCCGTGGGTTTGCCCCTCCCCCCCGTTTTGGAAGCTGGGCGAGGGCCGGCAAATCCGTGGCTGCTGCTGAAACGGGCCGCTTCCCAGAAGATGCAAAACAACTTCCCGGAGCCCCGTCTTAGCAGCCACGAATTTGCCAGCCGTCGCCTGGCTTCTGACCCTTTCCGCTTGCCCTTTCCCGTCTTCCGTTTCCCCCACAGGCGCGGGTGGGCCATCCGCCCCGCAAAAGTGGCGTCCCGTCGGAGCAGCCGCTGAGCGCGCGCCTCTGGGACCACTGCATGGCGACCTCGGCGAGGAGTTCCTCCTCTTTCCTCCTCCTCCTCCTTCTTTCTCCTCATCCTCCCTCTCCTCTGTCACCTCCTCCACCTTCTCCTCTCCTCCTCCTCCTCCTCTCCTCCTCCTCCTCTCCCCCATTCCTTGTCCTCATTAGTGCGCCACCGTGCCTCTGGGCACAGAGTGGGTGTGTCCTCAAGCCCTGTAGCACTCCCTCGCGCTGGTCGGCGCAAATTCTCCCTTACCTCCTCCTTTCCAGCCTAGGGCTTGGCTCCTTTGGTAACCTCTTGGGGGATCCCCTCTGTAGCCTCCCTTCGTGTGGCCCCCTGGGCAACCCTTGGTGTCTTGACATCCCCCTTTGCATCCTCCCGCATGCACTCCTTGGTAACCCTTGAATCCTCAGTATTATCCTTTTCCGCCCCCTTTTCCTTTAACGGCTCCTTTCGTGGTGCAGTCTTTGGCCATGTGCCCGTACCTTCCACACTTGTAGCACATGGGTCCTTTGCCCTCTTTCCTTTGCTCAATTCGTTCGCGTTCCCGTTCCCGCCCGCATCATCCACACTCCAGGGCCACCACTAGCCGACCTCGTCCGACTAACCTGTGTTGTCTCCATTCGCCTCCAATTTCCACAGTTGTCATCGTTAACCTGGCCAATGTCCATCGCATCGGCATTCTTGGTGTCGGCGTCTAGCCTTGTCATCCTTGCCCAACCCTCGCGCTCAACGGAGAGCGTTTGGTGCGTGTCGATGCTCAACGACTCTGGAGTTTCAAGACGACCTTCCAGGCCAGTCATCAAACCAAACACAGGCGTTGGTCAAAGTGGCTCTCAAGGCAATAGCCCTGAATGGTAGCGTTTAAAAATATGCAAGCCCATACTGTTCCATTGGTTCTACTAACGCACTCCACAGTTCGAGCTGCACAGCCACCTCATTCACGTTCTTCGGGTTTTCGGGAATCATGGCCAAGTTCATCTTGTGCGACGGAGTAACCCCGGTAACAGCATAATGCCACCTGTCGACTTTTTGATGGGTCACCAAACCATCTCCTTCATGAAGGCCCTGAAGATTTTTCGGGGGCTCTGTTCCTTCTAGCTTGTCGTTTAACAAATATCAGGGGTCCTCGTCCAACTAGGGAAATCGTCTTAATCCAACTCAGATTCCCTCTTTTGGTCGTGTTTCCTGTTTTTGGATGTCCGAATTTTTGGTGCACTCGCTCTGCTAACCTTCCGTTCACGATCTTTATCATCTCGTACTCTTCGTCACCAAGGAATGTCCCATTCATGGTTCCGAATTTGTTGTTGAAATTCTTGGGGGGGTTCCGGTAAACGTGCGTCAATTGGGCGAATGCGTTCAACAAATTGTCGCTCCATTCTCTGAATCCGGTCCTGTCACCTGATAGTGTCTCTCACTGTTGAGCAGCCTTGTATTCACTCACGGGCTTGTTTCCCCCTCCGCCAGCCCTGCCGTTTCCTGCGGACTGCATTGCCTCAGCGACCTTGGTAACATGCGCCGAAGTGTTCACTCGATGTTGGAATTCTTTTCCCAGAGACTCCTTTAAATTAGTGAACGGTTCCTCGCAGTAGATGTCGCGATTGATCTGTGATCAGGAAGGCGCCCACTCTGTAGTTCATCTGCAACATTGTGAATGCTTCGTCATTTCCCACAATGCTGGGGCGACGTGTGGCACTGCGCTCGAAGATTAACTTCATGCCTTCGTGATTGGCTTTGGGCGCCGCGTTCACGTACCTTAAGCCTCCCTTCTCTCAACCCGCGTTGCACGGCTCCGCAGTCTGGTTCGTGCCCAAATTGTATCAGGCCTCGCATACACCAAATAACGACACATCATACATTGGAGTGTTGGTTCCGGGTATCGCAGAAGCAACTTCAGCTGCCGCCGCCGCCATCACTGCTCTGGAACCCGTAGGGCGAACCATGGGCCCCACTACCATGAAAATCAGGCAGGAGCTATTGCCACGAGAAAGTGATAGCACTTGAGGGAAAGGGCGACATGTGCGGAGAAGTCCTTGCCGGACCCTTCTATGCTAACTGCTATACTACAAGGCGCAACTGCCGAATGCACTCTGCTATACCTAACTAAATGCACCCTCTTCACCCGGTCGTAGCGATATGTGCAAACCTCCTCCTCCTCCTCCTCCTCCTCCTCTTCCTCCGCGCAAGGGGCGGGTGCACACGCCTACGAGGCGCAGGAGAGCACCTACAAAGTGGAGGTGCGCTCGCTCGAGACCGAGGCGAGCACGTACGAGGCGGAGGTGAGCACCTACGAGGTGGCGGCGCGCGCCCACCAGGCGCCAGAGAACACCTACGAGGCGAAGGTGGGCACGTACGAGGCGGAAATGCGCGCGCACGAGACGGCCGTTAGCACGTACGTGGTGGAGGTGGGCACCTACGAGGCGGAGGTGATCACGCACGAGACGGAGATAAGCACCTACCGGGCGGAGGTGGGCACTAACACGGCAAAGGTGCGCACGTACGAGACGGAGGTCAGCACGCGCGTGGCGGAGGTGAGCACGTACTCGGCGGGGGTGGGCACCTACGAGGGGGCACATGCGCGGTGGCGGCGGCGGTGACCGCGATCTGGACGGAGATGATCACCTGCGAGGTGCAGACGGTTGCCTACGAGGCGGTGGTGAGCACGCACGGGGCGGAGGCGACAGCGTGTGAGGCGGAGGTGGGCACCTGCCTGGCGGTGTCGAGTACGCGCGAGGCAGAGATGCGTACGTACGAGGCGGAGAAGGCGCTGAACTACCGTCGCCTGGACCCCTGGAGATCCTGATGGATGTCAGCTGGAATGCCAAGAAGGGGCACGGCCTCTTCGCGAGTTGGAGTGCCGAGGCGGAGATCAAGGTCGACGATGATTTGAGGGAGCCTGCTACGTGGTACTCGAGATCCATCGGGCTTTCTCGAAATCGAGCTGGCGCCGTCCCATCAGACATGCGGTGCAAACTACTGGAGGACCGCGCCTGGGTGCAGCGTTCACTGGACAGAGAAGAGGGCCGGCCGGAGGTAGAAGCTGTCTGCTCCGAGGCGCTCAACAATGACGGGGACGGTGGCAGGGCGCTAAACGTGCGCGCCGTGGTCCGCTACCGCTTGTCCAAGATCAGCAGGGCCCTCGCCGACATCGAGGAGTGCATCGCTCAGCAGGCGGACCCCAGCGACACCGATCCTACGCTCGTGGTGCTGAAGCGGTTCTTTCAGGCGAAGACAAATCAGCGCTGCACGCTTGGCTGCAGACGAGCAACACCCCCCGGCTAGTAGGGAACATTCGGCGCACGCCGACGTCGACGCCGACGAGCACGAGGACCGCGAGGACCGAGACGAGGACGAGGAGCCCACCCCGGAGTACAGCTTCAGCATCGGCACCGAGCGCGCACACCAGCAGCCCGGACGAGACCAGCGACGCATACGACTAGTATCCTAGAGACTCTTGCGTCGTCACTTCTCGGCCGCTTCTCGCACACCTTCGGAAGACTGGGCCACGAGGACGTGGTGGACGTGCCGCAGGGCGTGACGGACGTGCAGGAGCGGCAGGACGCGCCGCAAGCCGAGGAGCACGCGGAGGAGCGCCACGACTGGAGGACCGTGTGCCGCACGGGGGGGCTGCCCTCCCTCCTCCCCCGCGGTGGCTGCGACCTCCCTCCGCCCACCTACGTACTGTGCTGCTGGCGGCAGACGTCCCGACTCGGAGCCTGCCGATCTTTCGCGGTCTTTGCGCGACCGCTCCGACCCTCTTTCTCTCGGGCCCCACCGACTCGGCGGCAGGCACCGCGGGCCACCGCTCGCGCCTCCTTGGCACAGCGGCGGCGAGGCCGCCCCCTCGCCTCGAGGCATCAGGCCCTGGCAGCGCATCTCTCCTCCTGCAGTCGACCCGTATCGTGGACTGCGCGGTGAGGGTGGCCTTGGGCGCCCCTTTCGAAGCTTCGCGGGCGGCGCGCGGCCAACGCAGGTGGCCAAGGATGGACCGAGGAGGCCATCATGACGAACGAACAACACGCACCCATACCCATAGAGAGGACGGAGGGGGCTATGGGTGCGTGTTGTCGGATGGGGGTCCCCGCTCGAGCGGGAGCGTTCCCCAGGGCCCGACAACCCGCACCCATAGCCATAGCCAGTCCTCCTCTCAACGACCCCCTTATGGGTATGGGTGTGTGTTGCTCGTTCGTCACATCATGCAAGGGCTCCTTTGGGAAGGTCGCCCATCCTTACTGTGCGGGTTGACTGTGCTGCCTGCTCCTGCCCGAGCTCACAGCAATCGGCGAGCTCCGGCGTGGGCCCGGCGCTCGCGGGCGGTGAGCGCTCGCGCGCGCCTCGGCGCGCCTGCGGCACTGGGCGCGCTGCCGCAGCGCTGCGCATCCGCAGGAGAAGGCGAGGGCGCCACTCCTCGGAGGAGGAGCCCCTGAGCCCATCTAAGACGAAGCAGGACGAGGACGACGTGGAAGCGAGGATAGCTCGAGGATCTCTGAGATCCGGCGGCTCTGGAGGATGTCTCCGGCGCCGCGGCTTTCTCAGAGCGTTCCGGAACGCTCTGAAAGCGTTACGGAACGCCCTGGAGCGGATTTCTGCTTCTGCTAGCCCCGCCCGACTACAGGCAACCTGTATAATAAGGACGCACGATAATGATACAAGGATCTTGGAAGGCCATGCCGACACTTTGCGAGCGGGGCGCGGCCAGAGAAAGCGGCCCACGAAGGGGCCGAAGGGGAAGGAGGAAAGGGCCTAATCTTGGAAAGCTGCTGAACCTTCCTATGCGGGTTGAGTGTCCTCCCCCCCCCAAAGCTGCCGCAGACCTTGCCAACCCTCGGCTGCATGCAAGAGTGGCCCTGGGCAAGAGTGACCTTTGGTGCGCAGATTTTTGAGGGCCGCGGGGGGACCTCACACGGGCGCGCAAGACGCTACTATCGCATCGCGCTCGGCGATCGGGGACCCCAACGTGCCCGCAACGAAGGTCACTCTGGCGAAGGGTCACTCTTACGTCTACAGCCGTGAAAATGACCAAGCAAATCATCATCACACAACTCTGGGCCAGCTTCCCAGACATTTCCTAAAACAAGGAGGGGCCAATTTATGTTGTCAACGCGAACGTGCTCAAACACTGGGCCAGTTTTCCAGCAGGTTGGTTCAGAACCGCTAGTCCAACTTTTTCGGGCGGAGGTTTCTTGATCAGATGCTCTGAAAGGACCCAAGGACACGCAAACAAATAGACAACACATCCCATGACTGGACTCCCCATATTCTCCAATATCTTCTGGGCTTCCGTCTTCCCTCCCACTTCCCATACTTTCCCCTATTTTCCTAGGGATCGACGATTACTTGCATCTGTGTGTTTTTCCTTCTCCTGACCCGTACATGCAACGTCCTGATTTTTTCAAGACGGCGTCCCCGGAATCCCCGACCCTTTCCCCAGGGCCCGTTTCTCATTCTGCATCGGCTTTTGGCAGTCCCCGGGCCCGGCGAGGGCCCCCAGGAGCCGACAGTGGCGAAAACCTCCCGTCCTGATTTTCTAACGACGCGATCATGTCTGGGGATGCTCGACCGTGGTCGAAACCCTCCCGGCCGCCGCCCCGATCTGCCCATAGCACACGGGGGGCGCGCGCGAGGCGCGCCCCGAGGCCGCGGCGCAGGTCACCATGCCAGCGTGGCCTTTGAGCGTGCGCAGGCAGGCCGCCCGCTCCAGGTCCTCGAGGCCCAGGCAGCGAGAGGGTCGAGAGGAGGAGGAGGCGGAGGAGGAGGAGGAGGAGGAGGAGGAGGAGGAGGAGGAGGAGGAGGAGCAGGAGAAGGAGGAGAAGGAGGAGGAGGAGGAGGAGGAGGAAGGAGGAGGGAGGAGGAGGAGGAGCAGGAGGAGGCGGAGGAGGAGCAGGAGGATCGAGGGCCCCTCGAAGGATCGAGGTTCGAGGGTCGATCGTGTGACGATCGAGGATCGAGGGTCGAGCGTTCGAGGGTCGAACGTTCGAGGCTCGAGGCCCAGCTCGAGGGTCGAAGCCCACATTCGAGGATGGACGGTCGAACGTCGAACGCCCGGGCAATTTTCCCAATCCTCCTGTGTTGTGTGTCCATGTTGAGCTGAGCACTGTGGCCTCCCTCCTCCTCCTCCTCCTCCTCCTCCCCCTCCTCCTCCCCCTCCTCCTCCCCCTCCTCCTCCCCTACTCCTACTCCTCCCCCCTCCCCCTCCCCCTCCCCCTCCCCCTCCTCCTCATCTTCCTCCTCCTCATCTTCCTCCTCCTCCTCCTCCTCCTCCTCCTCCTCCCCCTACTCCTCGCCGTCCCCCTCCCCCTCCCCCTCCTCCTCCTCCTCCTCCTCCTCCTCCTCCTCCTCCTCCTCTTCTTTCTCTTTTGCCTCCTCACGCATTGCGGGCGAAGCGGTTTCTCTCGCGCAGCTCGCGACGCGCCGCGCCCGACGGGCGGCGCAACGCAAGGAGCTCTTCCTCACTCCACGGATATCTGAAGGCCTCGAAATAAAACCTCGGCGGGGAGCGGGCCTGTAGAAAAACCACAGGACCCCGAGAACCCCCCGCCACAAAGGACAGACAGAGGAGTCTCAGAGGGCCTGGAAGAGATGGGGCGGCGGGGGCCGCACGGGCCGCAGGGGCGCGGCAACGCGGGGCCCATTGGGGGTGCCACCCGAGGCCAAGGTCCAGTGGCCCCCCAGCCCCCCCCCCAGGGGATGACAACCTCCAGCACGCAGTTGCGAAACTGGGGTGATGGTAGGAGGGCCCGAGCTCACATGCACATGGGGGACCCCCCCACCAGGCAGGAGAGAAGCCGAGTGGCCACGGCTCTCGATGAGGCATCCTGGAGAGAAGGAAGAGCGGGGGGGGGGCCCACGAACGGAGGCGAGGACCCAAGAGGAGAGTGCGCCCCACAGGCCCTGCAATGGCAAGATGGAGGGGCCTCCAGGGCACTCGAGAAGGTAGGAGGTGCTTGCCCCAACGGGGGTCTCCAAGGTCTCGAGGGAGACGGCGCCACGCGGCCGCGGGGCCGCAAACTCGCCCCCTTCGGCTAGTCCGAAGGGGCGTCCCTGCTGGTGGCGTAGTCGTGCAGGGGTTCACCTCCGATTCGGTGTGGGCGCCGTCGTTGAAGTTCTTCTTCAGCCAATGTTACAGGCCTGTGAGGACGTCTCTGTGGTTCTGCTGTCTCCGCTGGTGCTGATATGAGCGTGGTCTCCATTGCCTGAGTTGGACCCCATAAGCAACATACCCAGACCACTGTAAACGTAGTGATGCCAAGACTCAGCTCGCTCGATGCTGCCTCCTTTGTCCCTGATGGTACTTAGAATGATTGTATCCATGCTGTTGTCGTCATTGTCGCTTCCGGGATGTCAATGATGGTCTCGTCGTTGTTGGTGATGACTCCTCGCTGGTGTCGCAATTTCTCGTACCCGTCTCTATTGAGGCGCCTGGCCGTGTGGTAGAGGATGATGCGAGATGTCGTGCCCTCCACACTGGTATCGGCGATGGGTATTGCTCGTCGCAGTGCTTCACTAGCGGCTCGTACCCGTTGACACACTGATTCCTTCAGGTGCCGCTGCCCCCAAGACGTGGAGCGGCTGCGCAGCTTTTCACCATGGCTCACGGTGTCAACATTGATGCCAATAATTCCAAAGGGGAACCCCTTCTTCGCGGATGAGCTTGACGATGCCCTGGCTGTTGTTGTCATCCTTCTCGTACGATGGGGGGGTCTATTGACTTCGGTGTTGTGCCCGGCCCCGTCGACTGCCGGTTGGTTTTTCTTTCAGGCGTCGGAGATGAAGAAAGCCGTTGTCAGACATGGTGAGTATATCGTTGGGGACCGTCGCGCTGTCGTCGTCGTTCGCGTTGTTCAGGTTCTCGGTCTCCGCGTCTGTTTCCTGCACCTGTGCTGGCGCCGTGGCCGGTATCGGCGCTGCAAAGCCATCGGTATCGACGATCTTGGGGCCGATCGGTGACACTTGGAGCTGCATGTACATGATTTCGGCGTAGTCCGCTGGCAATCCACTGTCTCGTTGGTACGTCGTGCCCTCTTGATATCCGCCTTGTTGGTTTCAACCCCGTCGTTAGTGGAATGGGGCAACGGTTTGATCCAGGGTGCTGGACATGCTCGCGAAGCTTGCGCGTGCCTGAGGAGCCTGCTCGGCGTGCTGTATTCCCTAGCGCAGACCTGGCACGGTGCCCCCGTGACGATGTCGGCGATCTGATTCGCTGGCTGGCAGTGGTTGTTGATGCGCTTGGTGCGTGCCACTTTCCTACCGAGCTTGGCCCCGCACCCGTGGCGCATGTCTGTCTGGCGACTAGCCGTGGTGCTGGTCGTGGTGTCGGTGATGATGGGCTGCGCAACTGTTGTGCATGTTGCCGTCGTCTCCGCTCTCCACCTCACTCGTCTTTCGTCGCCAATCCATGTTGTCGCTTTCCGCGTTGCTGCTGTTGCAGTGCACTTGGTAGCTCGTGGGTCTTCGCGCGCAGCAATGAACAACTCGACGGCGTCCTCGATATTTGTAATCGCTTCCCGTTGCTCGATGTACTCGCTTGTCTCATGGATGTAGTTGTTGATCGTAAGTGGCCCAAGCTCCTGGGTCAGTGATGTTGTCGTCGACCAGCGCTTGAAGCTCCCCCCGGCACTGAGTGATGAGGCGTGGAATCTGACGAAGTCGAAGTTGCCACGGTCGGAAGCTCGGCCTTCGTGAAGATCTCAAGGTTGGTGGTTGCCATTCTGCTCATCTCGGTGTGGGTGATGCCGATGGCCTGCCGCGCTGCTGATGCGCCTGCCGCGTTGATTCTTCTGTAACTGGAGGACTTCGCAAGGGTCCATGCCCAAGCATTGAAGGACATCTGGGTGTACTCATAAGCTGTCAAGTAACGAGCTTCATCGGGCCTGTGGCTTCTTTACTGGAAGCCGTTCGCGATGCAACCTCCTGGCTGATATCGCTTCTGTCGTTGATCAGCTCGTGACCTGCGTGTCCATGTCAGTGAAAGACTTTCATTCGCGATCATGTCTCTTACAGCTCGCTTCCCCAGAAGGGCGTTCGCAACGCCGTGAGGCTCGATTTGCTTGTGTTGATCGGTGGCCCGCGCGTGAGTGTCGCTCCACTCTGACGAGGTGGCCACGCGTGGTCTGGGCGGTCTCCGCTACGTCTTTGCCCATGTCGGTCGTCGCTGCAGCCTTTGCGTCGTCGCCGAAGGATGTGGACGAGCTCTTTCTCCTCCTGGTCTTACTGAAGCATTCGCGGTGAATGTTGGATGAGCGCGACCGCGCCGTCGAGTGTTGCCTTGTGGTGGCACTCCTTCGTAACCTCTGATGTGAGGGCGTTGAATGTTAAATCCGCCGGCGGGACTCCTGGTCGCGAACCGAACACTTGCGCTTCAGAGGTGGCCTCCGTGCTGATGTAGAACCACTTGCCCCTGTGCGCTTCCGCGAGCATGGTGGTGATGTGCTCGCTGTCCACGTGCTGTTTGACGATCGCGTTGTCGCCCATGAGCCCGCGGATCGCTGGCTGCGTGCCCTCGGGGATCTCGAAGTGCTCCAACATGTCTTCGATCTCGTCTGCGCTGTGCTGCATGCTGTGGGCGAGGGCGTCGATGACCTTGTGGGAAGCCTCCTTGCGGTCGATCGCGAGGTGCACGCGGTCTAGCTTGTTCCTCTTCTCCATGACGCAGAGGAGCCTGATAGTGAGGTGGTTGAAGTCCGTGGCGTCGTGCTGCCTGCCTCCCGTCTGAGTGCTGACGAAAACATTAGGGTTCTGGTCCTTCGTGCGCTTGTCTGATGTATCTGGTGGTGCTTGATTGCTGCGTTGGCCAGGGTGATGGGGCTAAGCCGGTCATGTCCGAAGCCGTATGGGCTACTCTGTGTCAGCAGTAAAAAGGCAACTGTGAAGATGGGCGGGCGCGCGTGCATGACCATTTCCTTCGGGGCGAGCTTCGCGAGGTCGTCCGTGTTGTCTGAGCCAAGGAAGGGCCTATAGTTGGCGGCCTTGGTTAAGATTTCGGTCAGCTCGTAGATGCTCGCGAACTTCTGGGAATCCCTCTTCATAGCGGTATTGGCAACATCTTTTTCGCTGTAAATGTCGATGATCTGCTCGCGCGACCGGAACCTCGCCGCCTCGTTGTTGCCGGAGTGCCCGGTAGCTTCTCCTCCTGTTAATTAGCGACGTTGTCGTACGTAGTTCGCCGTTCCCGTGGTCATCAAAGGGTATGCTCTTGCCTTCGTCGCTTGCGACCTCTGAACAAGAGCGGCTTCTTGGTGTATATCCACTCGTCGTGGTGCAGGTGGGCTTCTCTAGCTTCTTGCGATCGTTCCACTTGCTGCTCTGGGAAGGTGTCGTGGTCGTGGTGGGCCATGTTGATGATGATCTTGCGAGGTGCGTGGGTCCACGTCTTGGCGGCCTCGACGGATTGTTTGTTTGCGCCTGCTCGTGCCGAGCCGCGTGCTGCGACAGTCATGTCGAAGGTCTCCCTGTGCATGGCGCGGTGGGGCATGCTCCTCGTCGTCGCACGCCTGGGCATCCTTCTTTTTACCGCCGGCTGGTGCTGGCCCCGTGCGTTTGCCTATCTGATCATCCCCATTGCCCTTCTGCTGCCGAGGACGAAGCTTAGCGTGTCGTCCAATCTGTACTCCTGGTATCCCTTTCTAGCCTGCTTCGGGAACGCTTCCTGCGCAAAACCTCCCGCCCTACTTTTTTACGACGCGATCATGTCTGGGAAGCCTCCTGGGCGCGTTCCTTCACGAACGCCCCCCCCCCGCATATCTCGGTCCGACTGTGCTCCCACCTGCGCGCGGCCGACCCTTTGGGATCGGGGCCGGATGGACGCCCGGTCGGCGGCCCGGTCCCGCCCGAGCCCACCGCCGACGCCGCGCGTGCGCCAGCCGACGCCGCCCGGACTTTGAGAGGCACGCTGGCTGCGGATCGCTCTGGAAGCCTCTCTTCGGGGAGTTCGACATCGCTCGTCGGACGGGCAGCACTGGGGGTGCGACCTCAAGGGGGGGTGACGAGAGGGGCCCTAAAGGGGCCCTTGGAGGGCTCCTTTTGGAGCAAGCTGGGGCCCGAAAGGGGCCCTAAAGGGCCCTTGCAGGGCCTTTTTCTTTATCCCCCGATTCGGCTGCCCCCGCATTGCCACCCACCCAACGCTCAGGAAGCCTCTTTTCGGGGAGCTCGCCATCGCTCGGACGTCCATTCCCCGTGCATTTTCCGGTTTCGTGCGTGTACGTTCCCGCAAGATGGTCCACGATGCTTCCCGATGGTCGTCGGGAACAAATGTACACGTCCGAACGATGCCAAGGGAGACGTACATAACACCCCGGTTTGAGAGACTCTGGTTGGCCTGACGGGGCCGTCAGGACAGTGACGATACCCAACATGAAATTTGGCACGCGCTCCCATGAACATCCTCCTGCTCCTCCCCCTCCTGATCCTCCTCCTCCTCCTTCTCCTCCTCCTCTTGCTCCTCCTCGTCCTCCTCCTCCTCCTCCTCTTCCTCCTCTTCCTCCTCTTCCTCCTCCTCCACCTCCTCCTCCTCTTCCTCCTCCTCCTCCTCCTCCAACCCCTCCCGCGACGACGACGACGTCGACGACGACTGACGTGGGTCCCACAACTTCACACTGGCGTCCCAGGAGCCGGTGAGTGCGCGGCCAGCGCCGTGGTCGAACGCGAGGCAGAAGGCTGGGTGCTCTGGGCTCTCTATGGTCCGCACCTCGGGCCGGCGCGGGAGGAGGCCCAGACCCCAGACCTCCTCGAGTCGCGAACATCATCAGGACGCTCTGTTGTTGCTGCTGTTGTTGTTGCTGCTGTTGTTGCTGTTGGACGCCTTTGATCCTGCGGCCGTCAAGAAGCGACTTGGGATGAAAAGCCGGTCGCCGCTGCGGAGTCCAGACCTCTGCCTGGGGGTCCACGTTGCGAGAAAATCACGATGTCGGGGGTCGAAGGGGGAGGGTGAGGAAGATGGGGAAGGGTAGGGAGGGGTAGGAAGAGGAGGAAGGAAGGGGAGGGAGGGGTAGGGGGGCAGGGAGGGGTAGGGGGTGAAGACGGGGGGGGGGAGGGAGATGGGGAAGGGGAGGGAGGGGTAGGAGGGTAAGGAGGGGTAGGGAGGGGTAGGGAAGGGTCGGGAGGGGTAGGAAGAAGGGTAGGGAAGGGTAGGAATAAGGGTGGGGAAGATGGGGAGGGGAAGGAAGAGGGGGTCCACTGCCCACAGAGGGGCGGTCCGAGGGGACCGATGGAGAGGCTTGGGGGGAGGCTCTGCAATGCGCTGCAGTTCACATCCAAAGCCATGAAGAAGGTCTGGTGCAAGCGTGGCGTCGCTTTACAGCCCTCCTCCTCCTCCTCCTCCTCCGCCTCCGCTCCCCCCTCCTGAGGCCCCTCCTACCCTTCCTCCCTCCATCTCCCTCCCACTCCTCCCTCCTACCCCCCCTTCTCTCTCGCTCTCTCTTTATTTCTATACCTCTCTCTCTCTCTCCCGTTGTTTTGTGCTCTCTCTCTGTCCCTCTTTCTCTTTAATGCAGGCTGGTTTCTGATAGGGACAGGGATGCGGTGCTCAGCTTTGAACTCTCTTTTGCTGTGCACACTCTCGTGCCTGCATCAGCGCAGGAACCCCTGAGCCACAAAGGGGTGACGGAGAAGATAAGCGTGATCGGTCGACCAGTAGACCCTCTCCCTTCTCCTGCGTCCCTCCCTCTTTCCTCCTCGTTCCTCCTCCCTCGTTTCTTGTTCCTCCTCCTCCTCCTCCTCCACCTCCCCCTCCTCCTTCACCACCTCCCACGAGGGAGAGCCAGAAGGGAACGCGATGGGCAGGCCGAAGCGTAGCAGGTGGACATGTGACATCAGTGGAGGCGGGAGAGCTCGAGGGCGGTGCACGTGGAAAGCAACGCGCCAACGCGGGCAAGGGTGATGAAGGGGTCGGAGGTCGGAGGAGGACGACGTCGATGTTGATGCTGCTGTTACTGATGATGATGCTGCTGATGATGAGAAGTATGAGGCTGACGTTGACGACGATGAGGAATATCATGATGGATGACGGTGGTGATGATGATGGTGGTGGTGATGAGGATTCTGATGACGATGTTGTTGTTGTTGTTGATGTTGATGATGGTGACGGTGATGGTGGTGGTGATGGTGATGGTGATGGTGATGATGATGATGATGATGATGATGATGATGATGATGATGATGATGATGACGAACTAAGGCTGGTGATGACGACGCCGCAGAGGAGGACGATTACTATGATCAGGAATGCGAGGAGGATGGAGCGGATGATGAGGAGAAGAGGTAGGGTTAACACCACAGGGAGAGCCAGAGAGAGAGAGAGAGAGAAAGAGAGGATGACGACAAGCTCGGGTGAGGTGCAAGGTGGAGGATGGGGGTGCCGCGCGTGCTCGACGGCCCTCTTGCTGCCGCGGATGGGCCGAGGCCATGAGCGGAACGAGCTTCCTCTCATGGTCCCAACCCCCCCCGGATCTCATGGCCTTCCACTCGCCCCAGTCCCTCCCGCCTTCTCCTCCGCCCTGGCGTCCCTCCTTCAAGAAGACGCCCAACGAAGACCAGGCCAGCTCCGCTCTCGCCTTGCAGCGGGCCAAGAATCGCATCGCAAACTCGCGCCACCCCCCGCCCGCAGATCCCTCCCGCGTGGCTGGCTGGCGCTGGCTGGCTTCGTGAAGGGGCCCGCCTCCCACCACCCGCTGATCATTGCAGCGGGCGTCCACCAAGACGAGACGCGCAAGCCTCCGCGAGTCTGCGGGCGACGCGCCCCTGACCCAGACCTCGGGAGGGCCGCGACGCGCAAATGACTTCACGCCCCCTGGCGGGGAGGGAGAAAAGGAGAGAGAAAGCAGAGGGGCAGGGAGAGGGGGGGGGGCGCGACACGCGCGAAGGGGGCAGCAGCAGCAACAGCAGCCCCGCGGCTACCAACGCGCACGCGACAAATCGAACTCGCCAGAAAAGTATCGACATGCCGTGAGAACTTCCCAACTGGTGGGAAGGGGGCTCCGCAAACGAGCACGAACCAATGAAAGAGGGAGGAGGAGGGGGAGAAGGAATAGAACAAAAACGAGATCAGCGCACCTGCGCGGGCGTCCAGGAGAGGGGAAGGAGGAGGCGGTGACGGGGTACGGGGGCAGGTTGTCGGGCCGTCATGCAACTGGTGCGGCTGCCGTCTCCTCCACCTCAGCCTGTACCAGGTCCCCCTCGCCCTCTGCCTCATCCTCCACTCCTCCTCGGCGCTCTCCAGCCTGGGGCTGGCCGCCGCCTCCGCCGTCTCCTCTAGTTCCTCCTCACCCTCCTTCTCCTCCTCCGTCTCATCCTCCTCCTCCTCCTCCTCCTCCACCTCCTCCTCCTCGGCGCTCTCTCGCCGCCGTCTTCCGCCGCCCTGCTCAGCGCCCGCCGCCAACAGCCGCTGGCCGGTGGGAGGCCAGGATCTGCTGAGCCACCCCCGTCGGCAAGGCGGCAAGGTGGCCGAGAGTTCATGCCAGAGCGCCCCTGCGTCTGCGCTGGCGCCGGCCTTGCCGTCCCGGTGGTCCAGCCTGTCCAGCCAGTCTCCTCCCCCTCCTCATGCCCCGCCCTTTTCCCTCTCCTCCTCATCCTCGGCTTCCCCCCCCCCGTCTTCTCCTCCCCGTCTTCTCCAACCCCTCCTCCTTTCTGGGCGACTCGTGAGGCAGTCACTCTTCGACCCTAGTTACCCTGTGTTGTCCCTGTGCTTGGACCACTCCTCTGGGTTCTGTCCACCCCTCTTCCTCCTCCAACTCCTCCTCCTCCCCTTCTTCTTCGTCTTCTTCTTCTTCTTCTTCTTCTTATTCCTCCTCCTCCTCCTCTTTCCCTCTCCTCCTCCTCCTCCTCCTCCTCCTCCTCCTCCTCCTCCTCCCATTCCTCCTCCTCCTCTTTCTCCTCCTCTTTCTCCTCCTCCTCCTCCTCCTCCTCCTCCTCCTCCTCCTCCTCCTCCTCCTCTCCTCTCCTCTCCTCCTTCTCCTTCTCCTTCTCCTTCTCTTTCTCCTCCTCCTCCTCCTCCTCCTCCACCTTCGCTTCCCTCCTCCTCCGCCTCGTGCTGCTTTCCCCTGGCCTTGCCTGCCCTGGGTTGCTTACAGGGGCGCAGGCGGGCCGCTTCCGCCCCTGCGAGTCACTCCTGGAGCTTCGGCCATCTATCTCTCCCGCATGGAGACCAACCGAGCTGCTGGAGCGCCTCCAGCGCTCCCCAGCACCCCTGCCCATCTCTGCTGCTGCTCGTCCTCCTCCTCCTCCTCCTCCTCCTCTTCCTCCTCCTCCTCCTCCTCCTCCTCCTCTTCCTCCTCCTCCTCCCTCTTCGTCCACCTCCTCCCTCTTCGTCGTCCCCCTTCTCCCCCTGCCCATCTCTGCTGCTGCTCCTCCTCCTCCTCCTGCACCTCCTCCCTCTTCGTCCTCCTCCTTCTCGCTCCGCCTCCCTCACCTTGGTGTCGTCGTCCTCCTCCTGCTGCTGCCGCTCCTCCTCAGTTTGCTCTTCTTTGCCCTACTCCTCCCCCTCCTCCCCCTCCCCCATCCAGCCCCCCTCTTCCTCTCCTCCTCCCTCGTCCTTCCCCTCCTCCCTGCCCTCTCCACTTCTTATTCTTCCTCCTCTTCCTTCTCCTCCGCCTCTTCCTCCTCCCCACCCCCGCTCGTCTAATCAGAACCTCCTCCCAATATGATGATGATTCCTCCCCCTCCATCTCCTTCTCCTCCTCATCCTCCTCCTCACTTATCCTCTGCTTCCCCCTCTTCCTCTTCCTCCTCGTCCTCCTCCTCCTCCTCCTCCTGCTCCTCCTCTCCCTCCGCCTCCTCCTCCTCCTCCTCCTGCCTACTCCCTCTCCTGCTCCTCTGGGCCCCGGGCGCAGATCTGGTGGTCCAGGTCCCAGAGCCTGAGTGTGCAGTCGTGGGATCCGCTGAGCGCCCACCTTGCACAAGGGGGAGGATAACGAGCAGCAGAAAAAGGGATCAGGAGGGTAAGGATGAACGCGAGGTGGACGAGGAGGAAGAGGAGGAGAAGACGAAGGGGAATGACGACTACGATGATGATGCTGATGATGCTGATGATGATGCTGATGATGATGATGCTGACGAGGGGAAAGGGAAGCAGTAATGGGATCTCGAACTCGAGGAGGAAGAGACGGAGGAGGAGGAGGAGGAGGAGGAGGACCAGTGTAAACTCAAGAGTCATCAACGATTTTGGAATAAGCCCTCCCTCCAAGCTCCCTCTTCATAGGCCCCTACAAAGGTGCAATTCCACTGAAGAAACTGCCTCGTTGGAAGAAAACCGTTTGAAGACCCTGAAGCATGCCAACACATTGTTCTCGGGATCCCAACGCCACGGGTCAACCTGACTGTTGCGTCGTGACGATCCGGAATCGTGCCATAACGCCATTCCTGGGAACTCAACACGGCGAACCGACGTACCTGTTGCACCCTTATAATCCCGAACCCTTCCAAAGCAGAGTTTCTGGTACGCTGATCATGTGGATCCGTGAAACTCTTCTAAACGTTTAGCATGAGTGAGTGCGGCGCCAAGGCGGGAACCACATTTTGAAAAGGAACCGCCCTCAACGCGTGAAACTCTTGCCCCCGAAAAACAAATGTGTGCGGCGCTGAGGCGAGAACCATATTTTGAAAAAGGCCCGCCCTCAATCTGTGAAGTTCTGGTATTTTTAGCAGAACGAAGGTGCGCGGCGCTAAAGCGAGACCAACATGTTGAAAACCACCCGCCCTCAATCCGTGAACCTCTTGCACATGCTTAGAGAGAATGTGCGCGGCGCTGAAGCGAGAACAACATTTTGAAAACCACCCGCCCTCCATCCGCGAAAAGCCCGGCCCGCCCTAAAAACTGGCCTCGGGGTGCGGCAGGGAGAATCGATTTACAAGGAAAAGGAATGGAGAAGGAGAAGGAGGAGGAGGAGGAGAATGAGGAGGAGGAGGACGGAGAGGAGGAGGAGGAGGAGGAGGAGGAGGAGGAGGGAGGAGGAGGAGGAGGGGAGGAGGAGGAGAGAGGAGGAGGAAGGAGGAGGATGAATGAGGAGGTAGAACATGGGAGGAGGAGAGGAGGAGGAGGAGGAGGAGGGGGATGGAAGAAGAAGGAAGCAGACGGGGAGGCCAGAATGCGTAGCGAGGAGGACATAGAAGATAAGGAGCGGGCGAGGACAAGGAACGACGAGAGGGAGGAGGAGAGGAGAGGAGAAGAGGAGAGGAGAGGAGGAGGAACCTGAGCAGGAAGCTCAGTGGGCGGGCGAGACGAGGCAGGGCGGCAATGCGATCACGATGATGCTGCTGCTGCTGACGCTTCTGCTGCTGACGATGCGGGGGGGGGGGGGGGGCGGACGGGGGGGCGGGAGCCGCGAAGCGCCACCGCGTGCCTAAAAGCTGCCCACCGCGTGCCCCAGTCGACCGCCAGGCTGGTGACCCCGTCTCCGTGGCCTGTCCGCAGGGCGCCCCGGCGAGATAGTGGGGCGCAAACGGAAGGGTGGCTCCTCCTCCCGCCCGCCGCCTCCGCCTTCTCCCCCTTCCCCTTCCCCCCCCCCCCCTCCTCCTCCTCCTGCCTCCCTCCCCTGCCTCCTCCTCCTGCCTCCCTCCTCCTCCTCTCTTCTTCCCTTTCCTCCTCCTCCTCCTCCTCCTCCTCCTCCTCCTCCTCCTCCTCCTCCTCCCTCATCCTCCCCCCTCCCTCCCACCTCCCTCCATCCCTCCCTCCCTCCCTCCCTCCCTCCCTCCCTCCCTCCCTCCCTCTCCTCCTCTCCCCTCCTCGCTCCTCCTCCTCCTCCTCCTCCTCCTCCGTCCTCCTCCGCCTCCTCCTCCTCCTCCTTCCTCCTCCTCCTCAGCCTCCTCCTCCTCCTCCTCCTCCTCCTCCTCCCCCCCCTCCTCCTCCTCCGCCTCCTCCTCCTCCTCCTCCTCCTCCTCCTCCTCCTCCTCCTCCTCCTCCTCCTCCTCCTCCTCCTCCTCCTCCCCCTGTCCCGGAGGCGGAGCAGGAGTAGGACGGGGGGGAAGGATGAGCAGCGGGAGGCGGGTGAGCAGCCTGCGTGAATGGGGAGGGAGGTGATGAAGATGGGGGGAGGAGGAAGGAATGATGACGCTGATGACGACGATGACGATGACGATACCGATGACGATGATGACGACGGCGGCGTCGATGACGATGATGATGATTGCACTGGTGCTGATAATAATGATAACGCTGATGCTGATGCTGCTGCTGATGATGATCGTGACGCCGATGTTGATGATGATGCGGATGAGGATGCCGATGATGATGTTGATGATGGTGGGATGGTGATGCTGCTGATGATGATGACGATGACGATGACGATGGTGGTGGTGACGATGGTGATTGTGGTGTTAATGATGATGGGGATGCTGCTGAGGAGGAGGCGGACGAGGATAATGATGATGAGGAGGAGCATGGGGATGATGAGTAGGAAGAGACGATATCCCCCTTCCTCCTTCTCCTCCCTTCCATCCCTCCCTCCCGCTCCCCCCTCTTTGTCTCCATCCCCTCCTCTCTTTTCCCTCCTCCGCTTCCCGTTTTCCCGCGGGGGAGAGCGGAGGAGCAGTGCGGGGAGGATGAGGCGACCCTCCTCCCTCCCGCGCTACCTCATCGCGCGGGATGGGAGGGAGGGAGGGAGGGATGGATGGACGGGCCACTTGCCGCACGGAGGGATGGAGGGATGGACGGGCCACTTGCCGCACCAGGGGACGACAAGCTACATCGCATATGCATGTAGGCATGCCTGTCTTTTCTTTTTTCTTTCTTTCTTTCTCTCTCTCTCTCTCTCTTCCTCCCTCTTTCTCTCTCGATCCACAAATACACATACGTAGACACGTGTGTGTGTATATATATATAGTCACACATACAAGTGCATATACCTATTCGGGGGGGGGGGGATCGGGGTCAAACTCCGCACCTCCTCCTCTTCATCCTCCTCCTCCTCATCCCCCCCCGGCTTCTGATCCAGCTCTCCATCACAAGCTTTCCTGCTCAATCCTCCCTCGCCCTCCTCCTCCTCCTCCTCCTCCTCCCTCCTCCTTCCCTTCCTGTGGACAGAGTTTTTTTTTGGGGGGGGGGGGGGGGGGGGGGGGGGGGGGGGGGGGCAGGTGGGAGGGATAAGGAAGAGGCGGAAGAGGAGGAGCGGAAGGGGATGCTCCGTTTCGCCACAGGGGCCCCGCCCGCAAGCCTTGCATCGTCCGCACGCACCTGCCCCGCTCCAGGTCCCAGAGCTTCAGCAGGCAGTCGGTGCTGCAGCTGAGGGCGCGCCGAGCGGGCACCCGCACGGCGTACATCTGCGGCGGAGGGCCTCTCGGAGCCGGCTGGGCAGATCGAGGGCCAGTGGGCTTCGGACAAGCTCAGGGGGTCTTCGGGAAGCTGGAGCTGGGCGCGACTTAGCGGGGGGGGGGCGACAAGTGGGCGGAAGAGAGGTGCCCTTTTCGGACCACAGCGGCCCCTTTGGGGGCCCTCAAGGGCCTCTTTTCTGCAGCCCTCGCTGGCCTCCCAGTCTTCGTCCCCCCCTTACGCGCCCCTCAATGGAGACTCACACGGCCGACTGCGGAAGCACTGACCTTCCGCCGCCCTCCCGCCCCCCGAGCCCGCCGGCTCTGTGACCTTCCCTCCCTGGGCCACCCCTGCCGACACTTCCTCGACCCAGAATGCACCCTGACCCCCCACCCTGATCCCCCCACCTCGCCTCAGACCCCCCCCCACTTTGGGGACTCTTGTTCCTGGGGCACCCCGCCCGAGAACTCCTCGCCCAGAACGGATCCTGAGCCTCCGCCCTGGCCCCCCACCTCGCCTCAGCCCCCCCCCGCCCTTCACGCCCCTCTTTCTAAACTGCCTTTAGCAGCCCCCGGCCCATGTCGATCGCCCCGAGGTGGAGGAGGAGGAGGAGGAGGAGGAAGAGGGGAGGAGGAGCAGAGGAGGAGGAGGAGGAGGAGGAGGAGGAGGAGGAGGAGGAGGAAGGAGGAGGAGGAAGGAGGAGGAGAGGGAGGAGGAGGGGAGGGGAGCAAAGAGGAGGAGGAGGAGGCGGAGGAGGGGAGGAGGGAGGGCAACAGGAGGAGGAGGAGGAGGAGGAGGAGGAGAAGGAGGAGGAGGAGGAGGAGGAGGAGGAGGAGGAGGAGGAGGAGCTGCCCTTCACACGCCTCTCTTTGTAGCACGGGGGCGTCGGGCCCTGAGGGAGCCAGGCCCTGGACCGACGTGGCCCTCCCCCGGGACCACCTGCTCGTCACTGAGCCGTTGTCTGACAGCCCCGGGGCCCGCGAAGGGGTCCCCGAGCGCCCGAAGGCGGCGAAACTCGAGCAGGGACCGACTGCCCGGGCATTCCCGTAGGGCCTACAGGAATGCCTACAGGAAGCTGTTGGGGGGTCTAAGAAACTTTCGTTGTAGGTCTGCAGGCTGTAGGCCTACAGCGACATTCTCTTATAGACCCCCCAACATGTTCTGAGAACAGAGACACTGTTCTCAGAACACAAGCCCGATGTGTTACAGCAGGACAGTTCAGCCAAGCATGCTCTAAGAACCTTTCGCGCAGACCACCAAAGGTTCTTAGGACATTCTTTGGTGGGCCTCTAGGCATGCCAGGACGCTTCGCCACCACTGCTCGACCCAGACATCCTGATTTTTTTCAGGACGGCGTCCCTGGAAGTCCCGACCCTTTCCCTGGGACTGGTTTTTCGTCCTGAGTCGTTTTTCGATGGTCCCGAGGCCTGGCGAGGGCCCCCCGGGGCCGACAATAGCCAAAAACGTCCCGTCCTGATTCTTTCACGACGCGATCGTGCCTGGGGACGCCTCCCTCAGGACCCGCCTCCCCCCACGGCAACTGTTGCCTTCCCGCACCCTTCCGCCCACAGAGCCGTCGCCGCTCTGCTCCCGCAGGCCGTCGCCGGCCTCCCGCCGGCTCCCGCCGGGGGCGAGGCGCGCCGAGGGCCAGGGCACGCTCCCTCCGGAGCGCCCCCTGCGCGGCTGCCGCTGCGCCACGAAAAACGTATACACGGAGTGCGCCCTCCGACGAGCTTGGCATGGAGCTCCAGGGCGGGGACGGTGCAGAGAGTCGCTGGCTCCCAGTGGTGATTCACACGCCGCCGCCCTCCCCTGAGGCCCAGGAGCAGTCCAGCGGAGGGTGTCTTGCGTATGTTTCGTGGCGGAGTCGCGCACGTGCTGAGCACGCGACGGCCCTGCGTTGCCGCGGCCACGGCGGCGCAGCGCCAGAGCCGGCCGCCATCTGCCAGGGCTGCGAGGCGCGTGGCGTGGTGCCAGCTCGCTCCGGTCGGGCGCTCGCAGCGACGCGGTCGAGCAGCCGCAGAGCCCGCGCGGGGCCTTCGGCGGGCGTCCTCGTCCGCTTGTGCGCCTCCGCCCTCCTCGCCGGCTGCTCGTTCTCGTCGGGCTGCCTCTGCATCTCCTTCTGCTTCTGGTGCCGTCGCTGCGCCTCCGTCCTCCTCGCCCTGGCTGCTCGTTATCGTCGGGTTTCCTCTGCACCTCCTTCTGCTTCTGGTGCCGTCGCTGCGCCTCCGTCCTCCTCGCCCCGGCTGCTCGTTATCGTCGGGTTTCCTCTGCACCTCCTTCTGCTTCTGGTGCCGTCGCTGCGCCTCCGTCCTCCTCGCCCCGGCTGCTCGTTCTCGTCGGGTTTCCTCTGCACCTCCTTCTGCTTCTGGTGCCGTCGCTGCGCCTCCGTCCTCCCCGCCCTGGCTGCTTATCGTGGTCATTAAGGTGCCCTCTCCAGCTGCTTCTCCTCTTCGTGCCGCTGCTGGCCTGCCAGCCGCCACGGCTGCACCCCCGTCTTCTTGGGATGGCGACGGGAGAGGGAGGTACAGTCAGTCGGCGGCACGCCCAAAGGGCGAAGGCATAGGGGTCGGGCCTTCTCTGAAGGCTCAGACGGCTTCCGACCTTTTCAGCAGCTTTCTGCGCCTTCTGCGAAGCCGCAGGGTGCTTCTGAGAAGGCTGGAGGGCTTCCGAGAAGCCCCGCCGCCGTATGAGAAGGCCTGCGCCCTACACCCCCCCTCACTTCCCCCCCTCGGCGCGACGCCGAGTAAAGCTGCTATCAAAGGGAACGCCGAGTGATCCAGAAACGAATCGAAAAACTGGATCGGCGATCGAAATTAATCCGATCGGCGGAAATCGGCAGCCGAGTCGGGAGACATCGAATCCGTGGAACACGGCAGGCTGGTAGGCCTCCATTGAGAAGTCGGAATCCACATCGGAATCCGAAGTCGACTCGAAGCGGACCAGGAGAAGCGATCGACACCGGCATCGAGGCGTGCCGAAGGGGTCGAGAGGAGCTCATTTTGGTAGGCGGATCTCTCAAGCTCTCCGCCGCCTCTGGCCGTGTGCGCTGACGAGCCGGAGCGCAGCAACGCCACATGACAGCGCGGCATCGACAGTGTAGCTCCGCACGCATCGAGGAGGAGCGACTGGTTGAGCAGGGACCGACCGTCCCGGCATTCCTGTAGTCCTACCACGAAATGTTCTCAGAACCCAAAAATGTTCTGAGAACAGAAACAATGTTCTTCGAACGTTAACCCGATGTGTTAAACCAAAACAGTCCCAGCCAGAAATGTTCTAAGAACATTTCGTGGAAACGACAAGAGGTTCTTAGAAGATTGCTTGGTAGGGCTCTGGGCGAGCCAGGACGCTCCGCCACGGCTCGCACTGGGGCCCTCCTTGGCCACGGCGGGCCTCCCGGCCGCGACCGGGCACTCCCGGACGGGCCCGACGGCCCCGAGGAGCGGCCCCCCCTGGAGCCGGAGCGGCGCCGCCGCCCGCGCGAGCCCGAGGCGCGCCTCGCTGCCACCTCCCTCCTCCCTCCTCCCTCCTCCCTCCTCCCTCCTCCCTCCTCCCTCCTCCTCCTCCTCCTCCTCGTCCTCCTCCTCCCCTCTTCCTCCTCCTCCTCCTCCTCCTCCTCCTCTTCCTCCCTCCTCCCTCCTCCTCCCTCCTCCTCCCTCCTCCCTCCTCCTCCTCCTCCTGGACACGCTGGGCCCCCGTAGACCTGGACACGCTGGGCCCGGACACCCAGCGTCCCTCGAAACCAGTTCTCCCACACGGCGGCACGAGCAACAGACTGCACTGCAGCACTTCCAGAAGAAGCCGGGACACAAGCCCCAGAAGCCTGCAGGACACCCCTGAACCCGGGCACGAACCCGAATCCTGCAGTGCAGCAAACAAAACATGCACGGGTGCTGAAAAACGTGACTTTGCAGGAAAGGATGCCGTTTCCTTGGTTTTCCGTGTCCTGGTTTATCTGTGTCCTGGCCTCCGGGGGCCCGGGGGGGGGAGCTCTTGGCCCCCGGAGCGCCGAGCAGCTCGGCCCGGTGGCTGCCGAGGACGGGCTCGTCGTCCTGGGCAGGAGGGACACTCAGGAGTGATGACTGTACGACGACGACAACGAGGACGACGACGAGGAAGAGAAGGAGAAGGAGGAGGCAAAGGAGGAGGAAGAACAGGAGGCAAGCCAAGAGAAGGCAGGAGCATGACAAACACGAGGATGATGAGGAGTGGTGTTCAGATTGTGTGCGCTACTCGATGATCAGGAGGATGGCGAGGAGGAGGAGGAGGAGAAGGAGGAGGAAGATCAGGAGGGGGAAACGGAGGAAGAGGAGGAACATGATGAATGATGATGCTGCTACTGATGATGATGATGCTGCTGATGATGATGATGATGATGATGATGATGATGATGATGATGATGATACGGATGATGATACGGATGATGATACCGATGATGATGATGATGATGCTGCTGATGATGATGATGATGATGATGATGATAATGATAATGATAGTGATGATGATGTTGATGATGATGATGATGATGATGATGATGATGATGATGATGCTGCTGATGATGATGATGAGGAGGAGGAGGAGGAGGAGGAGGAGCACGACGACAACGAGCCGGAGGCAGACGCTGTGACCAGGACGAGGAAGAGGGGAGCAGGGGCGGTGGGCGAGGGGAGAAAGAACAAGAGGCGGGAGCGAGGAGGAGGAGGAGGAGGAG